TCCCGAAATCATAGAATACAACTTTCGTGCATCCGATCCCTAAAAAGGGTAACCGCTCTGATCCTTCCAACTATAGGCCTATCGCCATCACATCCTTGTTCTCTAAAATACTGGAGTCCATTATTAACAGCCAGCTTATGCGGTACCTTGAGGAGCACCAACTGATTAGTGACCGCCAGTACGGTTTTCGTCGCGGTCGCTCGGCTGGTGATCTTCTGGTTTACCTAACTCATAAATGGGCAGAGGCAACAGAGTCCAAGGGGGAGGCGTTGGTCGTACGTCCAAACATAGCGAAGTCCTTCGATCGGGTTTGGCACAAAGTGTTTCTTACAAAGCTTCCTCCCTATGGGCTTCCCGAGAAATTGTGCAATTGGATCATCAGTTTTCACCAACGCTGTTTCTTCTGCATGGTGAATAGAAATTGGTTGATAGTGAGAGTGTAGTGTAGTGTGTTATTGCTGGGAGAAGGAACTTGGGTATAATATTCACCATAGACTTGCTTATCTCATCAAATCCAATAGCCCTTGACTTAATATCTGACGATGCCTTAGCAATATCATAAGCAATATGATTTACTATATATAATGTAAATTATAACTTAAATTTTAATGACATTTCAATGACAGGTTGCAAACCGGTAACATTCAACATTCCTATGTCATAAATAATTTTTCACCGAGTACCGGGACAAACTGGTGTCTGAAGTCAAGACTTTGTTGAAAAAAGTCTATTGAAAATAGAACTGGGAGCGACTAAATCTAGTTCAGTTCAATCTCCAGAAGACATAAGTTTGCGAGTTTACCGCTTAAAAGAACCCCTTCTTCGTATCTTCTCAGTTTCAAGGCACGCCCTTTGTTGCCTCAGCCAGTATCAGAATCCTCGGCGTCGACTTATCGAGTGACGTGCAATTTAATGGTCACTTGGAAGAGAAGGCCAAATAAGCCTCTAAAAAGCTTGGCGTGCTCAGCAAAGCGTGACATTATTTTAAGCCGGCATACCACCTGCAACTTTACAAGGCGTAGGTTCAGACGCACATAAAATGCTGTTCCTATCTCTGGGCGGGGGCTCCCCAATGCCAGTTCCTTCCATTTGATCGCATCCAACGCAGAACTGTTCGAATCGTCTTCGACCGAGCTCCCTCCGATCGGCTAGACTCACTGGCTCTGCGAAGAGATGTTGCATCTCTTTGCGTATTTTATCGCATCTTCCACGGGGAGTGATCTGAGGAATTACGCGGACTAATTCCAGCCGCACAATTTGACCATTGCACATCGCGACAAAACTCGCGATATCATCAATACCATCTGGATGACTGGCGGTTGACCACTGTACGATTTAAAAGAAGTTTTCTTTCTCGCACAACTTGTGGAATCGAATGCCACCAGAGATTTTTCCGGACCGATACGATTTAGGTACCTTCAAGAAAAGAGCCTACTCCTTTTTAAAAAGGCCGCAACGTATCGGCAATTCCTCTGGTGTTGCTGTTTGTTTGCTCCCTCTTTTATAAAATACGTGAACTGGCTATACTCGCTCATGTCAAGGAAGATACGAACAAACAAGCTTTTGTTTACAAGATTGATGCGACAACACTATTTAAACGTAAACATCAATCAATTTATTTCTCCGTTATATATGTGGGGTAGTGGGTATTTCTACATTTTCGCCACTACACAATCCCGGTTAAAACTATTTCTACTATTCTAACCTAAATATATTATATATAAGTATGACACATAAATATACATAAAATATACACATACGGGAACGAACGACGAAGGAACTAATTCTTAAATTCTTCAGGATTTAAGAATTATTTCTATGATCTGCAACACTAACCTTAAGATCGAGGTTCACGGCCGGAAATAGAGTGGAGAAAATTGAAGTTATCTTTAAAATATTGTAGATAATAAGGATAATTAAAGACCTCAAAAAGTGTTAAAAAATTCCTCTTTAGGATGAAGTCGATTCCATTTTTCAAAAAGTTTACTTCTTCATCATACGTCCAACTTCAGCGAATTAGTAGTTACGATATAGCTGTGTAATAATAATTGACCACAAAACAGTTTTCACTCATTTGAAAAAGTACAGCTATACAAAAAAGCTTGATATTTGGTTACCACACAAGCTTACTGAAAGAAACCAACTACAAGAAGCTAGAAGCACCTACTGTAGCGAAACCCGGATTAACACACAATAAGGTGACTCAAACTCAAGTAAGTAATTGAGAAAAAACGGCCGGAATTGATCAACAGAAAAGGATTGATCTATCATCATGATAACACCAGATTACACACTTTCATGGCCACTTATCAAAATTTATAACAGCTTGGCTGGGAAGTTTTAATGCATCCACCGCCATATAGATTTTCACCAGTTTCAATATCTTCAGAATTATTTGGGTAGTGTTAGGTTAACAACAAGAGAACTTTCATAACTACCTGTCGCATTTTTTAACGAAAATCTCAAGCTTTCTATATCAACGGGATTATGTCACATATATCTTTTATATGTTATAAAATTTTTGAGACGATAGAAACAGAAACGCAGAGCAGAAAAAACTTGATTATATAACTTGAAGACTTATTTGCAAGCCAAGATTTACCGTTGATTCATTGAAAGGGATCAATATCTCATTATAAACCTCAAGTTTAAGGTTTTTATAGTTAATTTAAGCCAGCATCCCGATACTACCTACATCCTACAATTATCGCTTTGCATTTCAAAGAATTTACGGAAATACCATGCCTATACCACCAAACTCGGATAGCATCAAGATCATTGTTTAGCAATATTATGACGTTATTGATGTCACTAATATTAGATTGTGCGTAATATGATCATCTGCATACAGATAGTGCAGGCGCGTGTTAATAGAAAATACAGAATAAATAAATAAATAAAATATTATAGGAGAAAGTATACCGCCTTGCAGCACACGCGATTCAGCCCAACCAGAGAACTGTTGTCCTAGGCAAACTGGCTGCTGATGGCCACGAAGATAGAATGAGAACCACTCCACGGCTGAGGATGACAATCTAAGATAATTTAGAATTTAGAGGAGGATGTCGTAATCAACTATGTTGAAAGCATTTTAAAGGTCAACAAGCACCAGCACTGTAACTTTATGTTCATCCATCCCTCTTCTTTTGTCATTAGAAAGAAGGTCTTCATCATCCTTGATTTATAAAACTTTCAATACGTTATGTTCTTTTATGAAAACAGACACTTGCTTATATACACAGGCTTTAAAAACTTTAGTCAAGAATGGGTGAATAGAAATTGGTTGATAGTGAGAATGTAGTGTAGTGTGTTATTGCTGGGAGAAGGAACTTGAGTATAATATTCACCATAACTTGCTTATCTCATCAAATCCCATAGCCCTTGACTTAATATCTGATGATGCCTTAGCAATATCATAAGCAATATGATTTACTATATATAATGTAAATTATAACTTAAATTTTAATAAAAGTAATCCATGTAATTAAGATAGGTTCCGTGATGCAATATGCAAATTAGAGCTACTAGCCGCAATTGAAATTTAGCAGAATTGATTACTTAAAACTTGTTTGATAACTTGATATGAAATCTATAGCTGGATTTCAGCATAAGTTAATAAAAGGGATAATGTTTCGTTATTGTCTTTTCCTTTCACAATTTTAAGCGATATTTAGCGTAAAATAGCAGTTTAATGCTTTATACAAAAACTTATTATTAAACGTATTGTATCCGTGTAAGCATTTAGATAAGAACTTACTTTTAATTAACTATTAAAAAAGGTTACGTCGGGTTGATTTGAGTTTGTTGACTATGACGTACAACAATGGAAAACGTAAGTTTGTAATCGCAAAAATATTTATGCAATATAACTACAAAATAATGCTTTTTAGATTTTTTCTTTATTTTACTGTAAGACCTTAGTTTTTGTAAATTTTTTTTATTTTACGTAAAGGGTAAACACTAATATAAGCTTGAATGAGTGATTTAGCGAACATCAAAATATCTGACATAAATGGCCATATAATTTAGTTGCGTTGATTTAGAACTTTGAATGTTTTAAATCTCCAAAGAATCATAAACTTTAGTATCTGATATTAATTCCAACTTAATACCTCTACTTGTTCCTAAAAAAAGCTTCTTGACACATGGACGGAAGGGCAGACGTACAACAAAGAGAGAAAGTATTCTGACATACCATATTATTACAAATTGATTTTCTGCTCGGGTTTATTTAAGCTTGGGTTGTTTAAGATTCTTTAAGTCAGTGTAATTTTATTAAAGATCGTGCTTGTACTTGTTTGTGGATCTATTTCCTAGGTGTATCTAATAGTTATTTTTTTCTTAAACCCTAATCTCTTAAATGTTTCCTTCTGTAATCTATTTTTTCTTTTTTATATTTTTACCATATATAATATTGTACCACTGTATAATAAGGTAATCCACATATTTTAAGGTGAAGTTTAAAAAAGAAATTTTAATTTCATATTATAAATTACTGTAACGTAAATAATAAATTTTACAGAATCTGAATTTTTTCTTAAAAAATTTAAATTAAAATTAAATATATATATATATATATATATATATATATATATATATATATATATATATAGGCTTAAGTTTTAAATGAACATCCATGCCTTATTATGCTCACAAATTAAAATTTAGGATTGGGCTAACTATATATCTGTATAATATAGCAAAGTATTTCAATAATAAATTTCATAAGAACTAGCCGGATCATAAGAAACAAAGTCAAATGTTACGGTATATTTACATTTTGTCTGTTTCGCGTTCTGAATTTAAGAGGAACCAACGGTGAAGTCTGTGTTAAATGGTAATTACCATTTTTATTGTCTACTTCTATTCATCTGTTAAATGACATTGATTCTTTGTTTCTATGTAAATGGATAGAATATTTAATTATATAGAAAACACTATTTAAAAGACCTAGTATCCCTCTGCAAGTATCAGTTGTCTCCCAAAATTCAATCAGAAACATGATACAGAAAGTAAGTTCTTTTGCAATATTTTTTTTTATTTTTAAAATGATACAACAATAAACTAAATTGCAATTATTTCAGAGCCCTACCACAGCTTTGATGCTCTGCGTGATATTAACAAAAGGAATTTCTGGTTTTTCTTTTTCAAATGTTTATGTTCAAAGTAATCCAACGGAATATATAAAATATGGATCTCCAAGTGAATCTTCTGCAACTCCAGAAATTGCGCGGATATCTGCAACTCCAGTAGAATCGATACCTATAGAAACTGTGCAAGGACTGATTACCCCTTGTGTAACACCGTGCATTATTTCAAATACAGCAGAAACACCACAAGCTAGAGCAAATGTAATAACTTACAGATCATCAAATAGTAACGTCCCTATTATACTAACTCAAAAAGATGTAAGTAGAAAGTTTTTTTTTTTTCATTTATAAAAGGTTAGGTTAGGGTTATAATCCTTAATAATCCTTATACTAATTTTCTTATTTAGCTCGTAAATGTCAACTGCTTAATATAGAAGCACAAAGTTGTAAATAAAGTTACTAAAAATAAAAAAGTCATAAATATTAATTTATATTTTAATAAATAGGATGCAGCAAGCTACCTGTACTCATATACAGTTTATGATGAGCAAACTGGTGATCGTAAATCACAAAGTGAACATAGTGACGGAGCAGTTGTTCAAGGACAATATTCATTAATTGAACCAAATGGGTGGAGGCGCGAAGTTACATACACAGCGGACGATTTAAAAGGGTAGGTTATTATAACAGTCATGATGTATTTTGTTTTTTTTAAGAAAATGTTGAAAATGGAAACAATTTTAAAGAAATCTTTTATTGTCAGGTTTAACGCTGTTGTCAGTAATATATCGCCTGATATTAAGGCAGTTACAAATAAGTCCAATAAAGATAAAAAAGAGGAGCCTACGCAGCCTTGCGAAGATGTAAAGGGAGAACAGCTGAGAATAAAACCACAGGAAACACAAAAAGCTACCAAAGTTAACGAAAAAAAAGATCACAGTTATGAGCTTAGTGAGAGTCATAGCAAATCACGAGAAGAATCCGCAGAAGAACTAGTTACTACTCCACAAGAAATTGTAACGATTGGGAAAGAAATGACAACAGTTTTACCTGTTATAATTGAAGATATAACAAAAGAAGCTGAATCCGAAACGTTACAAAACTATAATGTCGTACCCTATAACGAAATTATCAAGTGTCTTCAATCTAAAATACGTGGATTAAATACTGAAAACCACACAAGTTTAGATGCTTCCCCATTGACATACATCCTTTTGCCTACACTGGGTATCAAGCCTTGTTAAGCTACCCAGTAATATCGAAGACGTTCTTTAGATACAGTACTCAATTTATTGCCAATTTGGAGATCCCCAAAACTTCAAAAAGATATAAGCACTTAACGCTATGTTTGATTGAAATAAATTTATAGATCAAAATAAAATATGCAAATAAATCCTAAGTTATTTTAATGTCGAAATTAATATATATATATATATATATATATATATATATATATATATATATATATATATATATATATATATTCAAGGATTGTAGAGCTTTGCAAATGCTCCCATGTTGCTCCTTCTCCTTCCACACAGTATCCCTGATTACAGATGCTCTATATTACCAGGTTGTACCATTATAACAATAATAAGTTTATATACAATTTTATAAAGAGATTTCAATCTATGATTAATTTGCATTTTTTGTGCTTGTACAAAATCAATACATACGATAGTGTATCAGCCAAGTTCAGAAATGAAAATGGCGACGCACCAGCCGTGTGTAATTTAACCGAACTAACGAACGCTATTCTTTTGAGGTGGGAAGGCGTCCTTAGTAATCCTTTTATTTAAGCTGATAACAATGAGGCACAAATAACTATAAGTAAACAGGTTTGAATAGGAATATTATTATTATTATGACTTCAAAATCTAGACGCAGAGTTGTGTGACACATTTATCTGTGTCCAACTACCAAACTCGGTAAACAAATGAATTGCGCATCGGCAGTATGTAAATTTACTCGAAATATTTCTAGCTACTTTTGATGCCTTTTTGAGTGGCCTGAAACTGCCATTTTTATCCCTCACTGAGTCACCCACTCGTCAATTACTCAAATCACTTCTAAGTGACTTAGAAACATAAAATTCCACATCGATGTAGAGCTGAAGCGAATAAAAAGGAAAATTCCAAAAATAACAAAATAAAAGTTATAGGGAGCCACTTTCAGTACAAGCATCTGGGGTATAGACATCACTGAACAGAAGAACTGATGTTCCAGTTCCCTTAATTATAATTATAAGCATATACAACTTTCTTCAGTCAATAAATAGTAAATTTATTACTTTCTTTGATATAAAATTTTTAACATGGCAAGTTTTATATTAAGCTAAATTTTTTAAGAAATAAAAGAATTAAAAAATATACGCTTGTAATAAATTTCATCACGGTAAACGGAATTTATTGACTATTAAAACTTTTCAAGTTGTAAATTGCACATACAGCAATGAACGTAAAAAATGTTCCTGTAACAAACAGTTAAAAAGGTAACTGAATAAAAATGATGTAAGCAGCAAAAATATTTTAATTGAGTAAATCACAAATAAAAGCAATTTAAAAATCCTTAAACCGCACACGGCGTTGCAAGTGATTGTATATATATATATATATATATATATATATATATATATATATATATATATATATATAATTTTTGTCTCTGAAATCCACACGCTGTTAAGAACAGAACTAAATCGAAGAAAATCAGAGGTAATATTGTGTAATTTCCGAAAATATTATGCTATTATTCATTTAAAAAATACATCACTTAGAATGATAATTATCCATAAACAAAATTGTTTTTAGTTTAAAACTTGGCTTTCTAAGAAAGTTTCTTAAACAAGACAATTCTACTTTGCCTACTTTTGCATTGTACGTAGCCTGACTAAAAGAAGTAAAACCAATGCTTTGTTTCAGTTTGCAGGGTAAGCGTATAATTACAGGCTAAGAGGTATTCCATCTAAGTCATCTATAGTACCATGTCAACGTCTTTTGAAGTCGCTTGCAAGTGTTCATGGCCCACGATAGCCCCTTAACATCATGTGCACTGTTAAATCGTTTATCACTTTAGTATTTTAAACAAAAAGAAGCAAATAATGCAGTAGACTTCATATAATCAGTCTTTTAACCTAACCTCATAGCGTGCATTCAGTAGCAGCAGTAACTGTACTTACACTCTACTTTTAATTTTTGATACGCTCCATAATGAATTCATGTCTGTAAGCTATTATAAATAATTTCATAATTTACTGCACATTAGCCTGCATTAGGCGAAAACGCCCGCAAGATAAAATAAAGTGATTAATTCTTTTACGCAAATACTGAACGCAAATTATATTTAATTACTTATATTTTATGCATCATGTTTATAAATACATTACTGAATTTGTAACCCAAAGCTTACTAGAGTTTAAATGATTATTTTGATGAAAAAAGAGCATGGAATAGCATTAACCCAATAAATTAATAATAAAAACTTAATTATATCGGTTACTTCAGGTCCGCATAAAAATCCAAAAAAATATATTTTTTGCTTGCTTATATACTCACTACGTCAGCCTAAAGAATCATATAAATAGATCACGATTTCCGGGAGATACATTCATTTGAATACGAACTGTCAAAGAGATATCAACATGGAGAAAAACAAAATTAGAGCTGTCATCAAGTACTTCTGTTTGAAAAAAATGTCTTCAAAAGACATACACAGTGAAGTGAATACTTAGTGGAAACCTGGGCCAAGGAGTTTAAACTGGGCAGAACATCTACTGAAGATGAACATCGCGAAAGACGCCCATCCACGTACCTCACTGAAGACAACGTGAAAAAGGTCGAAGATGTTGTATTGGCAGATCGAAGAGTGACCATCAGGCATGTAGCTGAGGTCACAGGGATCTCATATGGCAGCGTTCAAAGAATCCTTGCGAACGAGTTGCATATGAAAAAGGTCTCTGCGCGTTGGGTGCCCAGAATGTTAACCGACGAGCAAAAGAAAAATCGAGTTGACATTTCGAGGGTCAATCTCGAAAAGTTTCAAGCAGATCAAGAAATTTTTTTGTTCCGTTTTGTGACTATAGACGAGACCTGGATCCACCATTTTGATCCTGAAACGAAACAACAATCGATGACTTGGAAGCAAGCCTCCTCACCGACGAGAAATTCAAAGTTTCAAGTTCGGTGAGAAAGGTTATGGCATCTGGTTTTTGGGACGCTCAACGCATAATTATGGTGAAATGTTTGGAAAAGGGAGCCACTATTACGGGCTCTTACTACGCAGACCAAATAAGAAGATTACGGGAGGCCATTAAGGAAAAAAAGACGCGGCAAACTGCGAGCTGGAGTGCTGTTTCACCAAGACAACGCACCGGCTCACAAAGCCGCAGTTGCGATGGCTGCCATTCAAGAAACGGGATTCGAACTGCTCGACCACCCTCCCTATTCGCCAGATCTAGCTCCTAATGACTTCTACCTCTTTCCTCGGCTCAAGGAACGCCTCTGAGGCAAGAAATTCGAAGACCATAGCGAAGTAATGGCCGCTGTTGAAGCGTTTTGGGAGGGTCAAGACAAAGAATTTTTTTCAAAGGGAATCCTGGGTTTAGAAAAAAGAGACAAAAGAATACATGTAGAAAAATAAATTATTATTTTAACTTTAATTACCGTGTTTTATTTTCATTATCATTACTTTTGGATCACCCCTCGTACATTTTCTGTATAATTTGGGAGTGATCTAGATGTGTAATACATATTATAAATTTGACCTACTTGAGGTGCCGTTGATTTTCAAATCGTGCATTTTTCTTTAATATTCTCAAAAAGAGAGGTAGTCGCCACACGCGTCAAACTTGTGAACAAGTGCTACATATACAGTGTATTATTTTTGAGCTAACGATGCACTGAAGGGCTCCAAAATTTTTACGTCAAGTTTTTTTAGTGAACAGTTTACAGAGTACTGTTTCCTGCAACAAGGCCTGTATTTTTTATAAACATCAACAATTTGTCTGACTCGTTAAATAAATAATGACAGAAAAGATACCTGTGGGGTGTGTTTCGCTGTTTTTCTTATATTGGAACTATAGTTCACTGAAATATTACGTTTGAAAAAAAATAATGCATAATATTTCGTTTTGTCTATTTTATTGCAGGGACAGGTAACGGAAATTCACATTATATATACATTTCATGCACACAATACAACCGAGATATAGCAGCATAATGCTACTGCTTTTTTCTTAAGATGAGTGTTGAAAAGTGGAGACTCCTTTAACTGGTAACGAGGGATTCTATCTTTGTCCTAAGGGATGACAACGCATCTGCATTTTAATTCTATATCAAGGATATGTCCCTTTGGGCCACTGTATCGTCTTACCATCAGGTGGACTATTTTCACGTTGTTCTATATAAACATAAAATTTGCAGCTTTTTAAGATTTTCGAGGATCGTTATACATGCTAAGCCAAGTGAGTTGAATATTTTGAATAACTAAATTATTAATGTATTTCAAGGTGCAAAATAATTGTTTAATAAACACGTAATTCTGTTGAAAGATATTCGTGTATTACACATACTTACCTACCTTAAAGACTCGGTTATATGCATGGCAAAAAACCTAATCATCAATTGTCAGATATTTCGCTTTCAGAATAATAACTAAAATATTTTTTTATATCATATTGAACATCATGTTTAATTTAAAAAGTCATTTATTTTAGTCTCTAACTTTAGTAACCACACGGCATTCTTTAGAACCTTTCTATTAAATTTGACCTAGTTACCCAAAATAAGTGATAATGAGTCAATGTATTATTATACTGCGCAAGAAATATGTATGTACTCGCAATTATATTTAGTAAGGGTTTATTGTAGTTTTTAAACTAGTTCCTTATTAAACATGTCGTGTTATAAGTGCCTTGCAATATTATTACTTTTTATATATGCACTAGTTTGATCAATAAGTTCTTGGAAACGCGATGAAGCTCTAGGATAATTATATTTAAATTGTATTTACTTTCCAACGTAATTGCCTTTAAGCTAATACATCTTGTATAGCATTTAAGTTTTTGAGTCATATGATCCTTTTTTTCCAAGTTAATTCTCTTGGAAAAAAAGGATCATATGACTCAAAAAGGCCTCTACAGCACGTATCACTTCAACGTCGCCGTGGAATTTTATACAACTCAAGTGCTCTTTTAGGTGAGTTTTGCTCAGGTTAAAATCACTGGGAGCTAGGTTCAGAGAATATTGAAGAACAACAGAGAACATCAACAAATACCCAGCAGTTCAATGGCAGCGCCTGCAACATCAGATCGATTACCGGGTCATTATCATGATGAAAAAAATACTCTAGCATGCAATTCTTCTCGACTTTCATTCTTTAGTTTTTTTTAAATTAATGATGCTTAATAAACATAAACATAACATAAAAACTACTTAAAAACTTACGCCTGTCACTCAGGGGGTAGGCAGAGACTACGGACTTCCATTTGGCACGTTACTGACATACCTCTCTCGCCTCCTTTACATCCATATATCTACGCATACACGCTCGTCGGTTAACTCCATTTTCAAAAAATCGCCAATTTAGTTGATGAATCTTCGTCTAGGGCATCCCTTCTCGACTCAGCCGTTCCCATCTGCAATATAAATTTGCTTTGTCACTCTTTCCTAATTCATTTTTTCTACATGACAAAACCACCGAAGCATTCTTTTCGTAATCCTGGTCACTACACCATCTTCCACATTTTTCTCTTATCACGCAATTTCTCACCATGTCATTCAAATTCAGCCCTAGTATACTCCTTAACATAAATAGTCGATCATTATTATATCTTATCATTATTATATCACATTCATATCTTCCACGTCCCAGAAGACAGGGCCATTATTTTCAACGGAAGCAGACATCTTGAATCTCTTGGCCTGCGGGGAAGACGGCCTTTTCCACACCTTGCTTTGGTTTTCATCTGCGGGTCAAAATGTTGTACCCACGTTTCATCTGCGGTTGTGGAACGAGAATCTGGATCTTCTTCAATTATAGCTAAATTTAGTTTTGAAATGCCTCTTGCTTTCTTTTGGACGTCTGTTAACATTTGAGGAACCGATCGAGGAATCTCATAAGAGTCCGACGTAAAATAGCTATAGCGGCGAAGAGCATCATGTTCAAAGGTGCTATACGTTTGGCACTACGAACGTCGATCAGTCTGCCAAGCATATATCGTCAATATACCTAAAAAAATTATAGGAAAACGGTAAAGGTAATCATTATCGACACTAAAAAATTCAAACCAACATAATATTTCAATCACATATTAGAAACGAACCAACGTTTTTAATAAACAACGTACATCACTATGATTTCTGTTTGAAATATTCTAACATAAGTTTTAAAATATTGATTAGACCCAAGTTAATTAAACAATACTGCCTACCTGATAGCAAGTGGACGCTGTAACCCCGTGATAACTAAGATGGAATGTCTCGTTTCCAGTAAAATGTTCCTCCAGTTCTCGAAAAATGAAAATCGAAATACGAAAAAAAATGATACTGAAAAAGCTGCTATTTTACGCTAGTATTCCATGAGAACGTGATTCTCCCCCGGCCGAGCCGACCCATTCGTGCTACAACTATACTACTAATATTGCTGCAGCATGACTCTACCACGTAAAAAATCTACTAGATCATTGCACTGAGATCATACTAGAATGCTTCTGTGTAATTTTTTAATTGTTAATTATTAACGAGAATATTTTTTTAATAAAAGTATAATGACCAGGTAATTTCATATCTAATATCTGTGCTTCTTATATAATATAGAAACAGTATGATATTAGTTGGCAACTTAACCTACAAAGACATAGCAAAAGGAGACTTAAAAGCTAATAATTTATTACATACAAAATTAAAGGAATGGGGTATTTTCAAGCCCCGTTTTGAAAAACGTAAATTTGACTGACATCAAGTTTGAAAATTTAGAATAGTCGTATCGTGTAGACTGAATTTCGCTTATTTTACGTTATGTGTATTTTACAAAGAACTTATAGTGAACTAATGGACTTTTTTTTTAACAAATCTAACGAAAAAAATCAAAATGTTATAAAGATGTAAAGATCTCACAAAATATGACGAAAGATCATATAGAGATGAAAAAGTATAATTTTTTATAAATATTTGTAGCGTATATGTAGTCATTGTCATCATTGAACGAAGCATTGGAATTCTTACGTGCGTCAAGACAATAGAATAAGAATTAATGACTATAGTTCCTGCACGTAATAGCCAAAACGGATATGGCAGGAAATTATTAACAGGATACTTTTAATTAGGATCGTATATTATTTTAATTTCAATCTGCTAATAAACCTAGTAAGAACTTTCACAAAATAATTTTATCCATTACAATTTCAGGTTTCACGTCGAAACTAAGTATTGGCTATGGCTCGTAAACGGATCGGAGAGCGCATGGTAAAAAAAAATTTATAGTATAAGGGTGACAAACTAGCACACAGTCCACCTGATGTTAAGTAGATGCTGCCATATACATCTACATTTATCTTCAATTAAAAATCTAAATGCAGACGCGTTGCCAGCCCTGAAGACTGAGACGGAATGACTCATTTCCAGTAAACAGGGTCTCTGGTTACACACTCACCATACGAAACGCAGCACCATTAAGCTGCTATTTTACGCTGGTATTCTGTGAGAGCGTGGTCGTACTCCGGTCGAGCCGACCCATTCGTGCTGCAACCACAATATAGCTGCAAAAATGTAATAAAAAACTTACAAGTATAAACTGATGTCAAAAAGGAAAGAGAACTTTAATTCTTCGATACATTATGTCTTATCGTGACTTAAGAAGATATTATTTTATTATTTTTAGTTTATGAAGTCAGTTTTAACTATTTTGAAGTTAATTTTTTCCCCTTTTTTTGCGACTAAGGACAATGTTCATCTTAATAGTTATATCAAAATCTTCAATCCTTTTTTTTTTAAATTAGCGATGTAATTTTTCGTTAAATTCACGTAAGACCACTCCTAAATTACAACCTATATAATGCAATCAAAATCATAAATATTATTATGAAATAATATATGTATGTTTGGAATAGCTTGTTTGTTTATGAAAACAAACAAGCTATTCCAAACATACATAAAAATACGCAGACAAATTGTGAAGCTGTTCCTTTTTCGAATCGCTTAAAATTGACAGAAAATTGTTGTAGTCTCCAAAAGATGGCAAAATAAAAAAAATGTTGGACCAAAGTTCGTCGTTCTGTCCATGGCTATATCACAGAACATACTTGGATATGGACGAAATCGTAAATGTCTCTTCTCCTCTTCTTTATAAATTTCTCCTTTATAAATTTTGTAATATTAGACAAAATGTATCTAGCTGTATTAGAAATATCAAAAGTGGAGTTTATTTAGTTCACTGAACTAAATACCTAAATAAAGGAAGCAATGTTTTAATTTAATATCTAGAATGTTAAAATGTATAGTATAAATACCGTATCGTTAGAAAAAATTTTTTGACTTTTCTGATTTGTGCTAAACTAAGATTTATGGTTTGGTAAAGTAAAATGAACTAAATTTGAGCTACACAGCTCAAAATAACTAATATTCAAGCTTTTTCTTAATTTAATCATTATCGATACTAAAAAATTCAAACCAACATAATAGATAGAAAAGGTTTTTTAATAAACAACGTACAGTAAAGGGTTTTTAATAAACAACGTACAGCGCTATGATTTCTGTTTGAAATATTCTAACACAAGTATTAAAATATTGATTAGACCCAAGTTAATTAAACAATAGGATTTAGAACAGGAAATAGACATTAACAGTGGTAACGATCATTGTTTGCATGTTTAGATAAAATTTGTAATTGACCATTGGATATAGGCAGAATGACCCTGACGTCTTGTTAGTGTTACAGAGTCAAGGCTTAGCGCACATTTCTCCGCCCCACCACAATTCAAACGCAAACCACTGCGCGAGTTCTATAAAACCATTATACCCAACCATTGACATCAATCAACTCTCAGCAGCTAAAACATAAACACAAAATGTTCAGCAAAGTAAGTCTTCAAAGTACTAATGTTTTTCGATTTTATTTAATAAAGATTATTTGTTTGTTTTTTTAATTTTTTATAGTTAAATAAAACCTTAAAATTATTATATTTATAATAAAAAGCATTAAAATAAACTGGATTAAAGTAATATTTACTAAAATTTATTTTCAGATTGTAGCTTTCGGTGCTTTGGTAGCGGCCGCAAACGCTGGTCTACTCCATGGACATGGCGCTGCCGTGTCTTCTCAAAGCATAGTCCGCCATGATGCAAGCTACGGAGCCGCTCCTCTAGCCCATGCCGCAGTACCTGTTGCCCAGGCTGTCCATTACGCTGCTCCTGCTGCCGACTACGACGGTCATGACTACTATGTAAGTTTATAAAATTTCTTGTAATAGTAGTCACTTTATTGTTATAGTAGTCACCCAAACATCGCTATTTTATTTGTCATTATTTTAACTGATTGGCAAAATGCTTAGTAATTTTTTTAATATTTTTAGGCTCATCCCAAATACGACTACACGTACTCGGTAGCAGACCCTCACACCGGTGACCACAAGTCCCAACATGAAATCCGCGATGGCGATGCAGTGCACGGATCTTACTCTCTGCTCCAACCTGATGGCTCCGTCCGTACCGTAGACTACACCGCCAATGACCACACCGGGTAAAACCAATTATTTAATTTTGTGTTAAATATTAACAACTATTGTTGTGCGATATTAATAATATTTTTTGTTGCAGTTTCAACGCAGTAGTACACAACTCCGCCCCTGCTGTGCACCCCGCACCCGCTCATAACTACCACCATTACTAAAAACGACGTCCTACCTCGTTAAATTATTTATATTTTTATAGAATGAATGTGAATAATGTAAATAAAGAAAAATAGTCTTTCTGAAAATGTTATTTCTGTTTATTTCAAATCCCCGCTAAATTTCAATACAAAATATTTTTGATTCCCCAAGATTTCGAAACATTCTACATATTGAAACTCAAACTTAACTACACCACCATCCTTAAAACCAACATCTATCAACAGATTGACATTTTCCAAACAATAAGTAAGTAATAATAAGTAATATAAGGAATATTTTAACACATATTACGAGCCGTAGCTTAGGCACCAAGCGATTGCCGTAAATTGCACAATGAGGTTTTTCTATTTCTGTTTTCTATTCCCGTCGGTGTCAATAAAATTTGTTAAAAAATTGCAATTTTATGAGCTGATTTACCACGAATCTGGAGGTGGTGGAGAACATCGTGAGGAAACCTGTATATCTGAAGAATATAATGTTTAATGGATATGTAGGCTGTAACTTGCTCCAATATAGGCAAAAGTATAAGAAAGTTTTCTGTGGCCATTGACTTAGTGGAACAGTAGCAACGTTAAAATGACTGATACCCATCTTGGAAAAACTGACGGAATGGCTGTCGTTCATAACTACGACAGTTAGATTTACAATATATAAGTATACGTAAATATATATAGGACAAATGCAACGAAGAAAACGGTTGCTGGTCTTTTTCCGTTGGGTTATGCTGTATGAAAGGAGCCGGTAACCGAGAGCTGCCACTTATAGGGCGATGAAGATTTAATCCAGCATACGCTTGGACAGAACGGCATAAACATTTTATCAAAGCCATTTTTCAGTCTCGATTTTGTCAAAGCCATTTCTTAGTCATTGGATGACAGTAGTCGTCACTTATCTTATTTCAGACGAGAGTCAAGTTTAAAGAGCTTACCAGACCTTTGGTGACCCCATAATTGAGTGCCCAGTCGGCGGAAACCACATAAATTCGATGCCTGTTATAGAAGACCTCCAGGAGACGCCTATGAAATATTTGTACATATCTATGAAGAAAGATTAGGGATTCCCCTAAAATAGAGAAGACGCTCATTATGAGTCATCTACGGTAAAAAAGCAAATTCAAAACGCATAATTAATTAAAAATATTATACAAAGTCAACCTAAAATTAGTTTTACGAGGTAGAGAGACGCTGCAGCTACAAACACTATAGCTGTAGTACGAACTGCTCTAACCGAGAGGGAACACGCTCTCACATTGTACCAACTTTGAATACGAACGTAATGCTGCTGTTTTTGTGTAGTAAGTGATAAGAACCGGAAACACTTCCTACTGCTAACAAAAATTTTTATCTGTTAGTCATCGAGGGTGAAAAGACAAACATTTTGATTCTTTATCGAGAGAGATTTAGGTTGGTTTTGCTTTTTTTTTATAAGACAAAGCGATTTTTATACATTAACGGGCGTGCAGTCACACTGTCTAACTGATGAAAAATGAATGCCGAAGCTCATTGACATTTACATCTGAGATCGCTGATCTGCTGTGTTTCCACAGCACCAACACAAACACAGCAGGGTTATGAAATAATTGCCGTATTTGCCACGCCTGGCAGGCGCTTTGAGTACTAGGAATTTATGGTTTCCAGTTGTTTATAGGAAGATGTTGCTGCTCATCTCCTGGCTTGTTTCTCTCCTTGTGGATATTTTTAAACCATCACTACGTTATAAATTGTGTCAATATCAATAATGTCAAATTCAATCAACTCTTCGAAGAAAACGCCTGTGACTGATAGTTCAGCACCGCAGTGGCAGTCTAAGTAGGTAAGCCAAAGGCGAGCGAATCCAAGGCAAAAGATAGTATTACACAGTATAATGTTTTCGGCACGGTTATTGGTAAAACCGAATTCAAAACGCAACTTTAAAGTACTATAAATTTCTGTTTATCTAAAATATTAATCTTATAAACAAAAGCTTTAAATGCACGATCCATCATAGGATACAAAACAGGAAATAGTCATGAATAGTGAACAATGACGATCATGGTGTACATTTTTTCGATCGGTCTTAATAGAATATTTAGTGCTTGACGATTTCAGTGTGAACACAGTAAGCCTTGAAGTCATGTTAGTTTTTTTTTTTATAGGATAGGGTGACAAACGAGCACACAGTCCACCTGATGGTAAGTGGTTGCTGTGGCCCATAGACATCTACATCTATCCTCGATTACGAAAAACCCCATAACCGTTTCCAGAAAAAGGGTCTCCGGTGCTCTACACTCACCATACGAAATACAGCAGCATTAAGCTACTATTTCACGCTGGTATTCTGTGAGAGCGTGGTCCTTCCCCGGTCGAGCCGACCCATTCGTGCTACAACTATACTACTAATATAACTGCAGCATGGCTCTACCACGTATAAACGTTAGTGTCACAAAGTCAAGGTTCTTGAGCACATTTTTCCGCCCCACCTAAATTCGAGCACATGCAGCCGCCCGAGTTCTATAAAATCATTGTATTCGACCGTTAACATTAATCAAGTCTGAGTAGCTAAACTATACACACAAAATGTTCAGCAAAGTAAGTCTTTAAAGTACTACTGTTTTTCGATTTTATTTTATAAAGATTATTTCTTTTTTTTTTCTTTTTTTATATTTTTGTAAATAAATAAAACATTAAAATAATTACATTTATATTTATGATAAAAAGTATTAAAATAACTTGAATTAAATTAAGATTTATTAAAATTTATTTTCAGATTGTAGCTTTCGGTGCTTTGGTAGCGGCCGCAAACGCTGGTCTACTCCATGGACATGGCGCTGCCGTGTCTTCTCAAAGCATAGTCCGCCACGATACAGGCTACGGAGCCGCCCCTCTAGCCCATGCCGCAGTACCTGTTGCCCACGCTGTCCATTACGCTGCTCCTGCTGCCGACTACGACGGTCATGACTACTATGTAAGTTTATAAAATTTCTTGTAACAGTAGTCACTTTATTGTTATAGTAATCACCCAAACATCGCTATTTTATTTGTCATTATTTTAACTGATTGGCAAAATGCTTACTAATTTTTTTTAATATTTTTAGGCTCATCCCAAATACGACTACACGTACTCGGTAGCAGACCCTCACACCGGTGACCACAAGTCCCAACATGAAATCCGCGATGGCGATGCAGTGCACGGATCTTACTCTCTGCTCCAACCTGATGGCTCCGTCCGTACCGTAGACTACACCGCCAATGACCACACCGGGTAAAACCAATTATTTAATTTTGTGTTAAATATTAACAACTATTGTTGTGCGATATTAATAATATTTTTGTTGCAGTTTTAACGCAGTAGTACACAACTCCGGCCCTGCTGTGCACCCCGCACCCGCTCATAACTACCACCATTACTAAAGACGACGTCCTATCTTGTTAAATTATTTATATTTTTATAGAATGAAAGTGAATAATGTAAATAAAGAAAAATAGTCTTTCTGAAAACGTTATTTCTGTTTATTTCAATTCCACGCTAAATTTTAATACAAAATATTTTTGATTCTCCAAGATTTCGAAATATTCTACATATTTAAACTCAAACTCAACTACACCACCAGCCTTAAAACCAACATATATCAACAGATTGACATTTTCCAAACAATAAGTAAGTAATAATAAGTAATATAAGGATTTTTAACACGTATTACGAGCCGTAGCTTAGGCACCAAGCGATTGCCGTAAATTGCACAATAAGGTTTTTCTGTTTTTGTTTTCTATTCCCGTCGGTGTAGGCAAAAGTATAAGAAAGTCTTCTGTGGCCCTTGCCAAGTGGAACAGTACATTAAAATGACTGATATATAAGATACAGACTGATATATAGAATTAGATTTATAATATATAAGTATTTGATAAAGTATATAAGACAAATGCAACGAAGAAAACCGTTGCCGCTTTTTCTCCGTTGGGCTATGCTGTATGAAAGGAGCCGATAACCGACAGCTACCACATTAAAGGCGATGAAGATTTTACCCAGCATACACTTGGACAGAACGGCATAGAAATTTTATCAAAGTTTTTTCTCAGTCTCAATCAAGATAATAATCGGGTGCGTAAAATCACGTAGCTCCAGTGTTAGCACGTTGCGATATCGCAGTAGCATTATTTGGACATTGGATGAGAGTAGTCGTCAATTATCTTATTTCAGAGGAGAGTTAAGTTTAAGAGCTTACCAGACCATTAACGACCCTATAAATGAGTGCGCAGTCGGCGGAAACCTGATCAATTCGTTGCCTGCTATAGAAGACTTCCAGAAGACGCGTATGAAATATTTTTACATCTCTATGAAGAAAGGTTAGGGATTTCCCTAAAATAGAGAAGACGCTCATTATACGTCATCTACGGTAATGTGCAAATGAAAATGCATAATTCGAAGAAATGGCAACATATGCTTTATTACACTTAATACAAACCATGAGATTAGTACATTAGTCGATAGAGCTCCATCATATTCTTTGAAGTCCACGTATTGCCATTTATCACTATCATTATAACCTATCAAAGTTCTACTATTGAACATATGTATCCCCAAAGAATGTTTCATTGGCGGAATGTTTGTCGTATTACATTGTTTAGCTTGGCATAGAAAATTGTTTGAATAGGTAAGTTTATACCTATGCATTCTTGTATCTACACTATAATATCTTTGCAGATGATAACTTCTAATTATTCGTTAGTTTTTATCAATGTCTCATACGTAACGTGTATACTATATAGCTATATACATTAAGGTCGTCATTTCACGTCGTTATTTCTCGAATAAGGAGAACACTCGCACCCATCGTCTGGATTATTTTCTTTTTATCATTCTCATATGTATAGATGTATAGTATATGAATGCGCAATTTAAATTCATGATAATCTTTAGACACGTAAGCAATGATTTGAAACAAGTACTCTTAAAAACTATTTTAAATAAAAATTATTCTATTCTATTATATACGAGTATACAAAGACAACCTAAAATTAGTTTTACAAGGTAGAAACACGCTGCAGCTACACAAGTACATTATAGCTGTACTCGTAGTATGAATGACTCTAACCGAGAGGGAACACGCTCTCACATTGTACCAACTTTGAATACGAACGTAATGCTTCTGTTTTTTGTGTAGTAAGTGATAAGAACCGGAAACACTTCTTACTGCTAACAAATTTTTTTATCTGTTAGTCATCAAGGGTGAAAATACATAAACATTTTGATTCCTTACCGAGAGAGATGTACGTCCGTTTTCCTTTTTTTTATAAGAGAAAAGGATTTTTATAGAATGAACGGGCATGCAGTCACACTGTCTAACTGATGATAAATGAATGCTGTAGCTCATTGACATTTACATCTGTGATCGCTGATCTGCTGTTTCCACTTATGCCTATTCATGAACCAACGTCCTTCGTTACAGCCTATCCAAGTACATAGCTCAAGATAGGCTTTCCCGTAGATTGCCTCAAAATAATTGCAATATTTACCATGCTGGCAGGCAGTTTGACGACCACGACTTTATAGTTTCCAGTTGTTTATAGGAAGATGTTGCTGCTCATCTCCTGGCTTGTTTCTCTCCCTGTGGATATTTTTAAACCATCACTACGTTATAAATTGTGTCTATCTCCCCGAAGAAAACGTCTGTGACTGATAGTTCAACACCGCAGTGGAAGTGTAAGTAGGTAAGCCAAAGGCGAGCGAATCCAAGGCAAAAGATAGTATTACACAGTATAATGCTTTTCAGCATAGTTATAAGTAAAACCGAATTCAAAACGCAATTTTTAAGCACTATAATTTTCTATAATTAAAAGCTTTAAATGCACGATCCATCATAGGATACAGAACAGGGAATAGTCATGAATAGTGAACAATGACGATCATGGTGTACATTTTTTCGATCGGTCTTGATAGCATATTTAGTGATTGACGATTTTAGTGTGAACACAGTAAGCCTTGAAGTCATGTTAGTGTCACAAAGTCAAGGTTCTTCAGCACATTTTTCCGCCCCACCTAAATTCGACCACATGCAACCGCCCGAGTTCTATAAAACCATTGCATACGCCCGTTAACATTAATAAACTCTCAGTAGCTAAACAATACACACAAAATGTTCAGCAAAGTAAGTCTTGAGTTAAAACGTTTTCATATTAAAATCCACTTTTAGCTTAACGATTTTTTGTTGTATTATTTAATTAAGTGAAAATATAAGTAAATTAAACGCCTTCATATGTCTATATCTAAGAGGTATCTGAAACATTTAATGTTGTCATAGACTAAAGATATTTCTTTTTTCAGATTGTAGCCTTCGGAGCTCTGATAGCGGCTGCCAACGGTGGCCTCCTTCATGGACATGGCGCTGCCATATCTTCTCAAAACATAATCCACCATGATGCGGGCTACGGTGCCGCTCCTTTATCTCTAGCCCACGGTGTTCAATACGCCCCCGTAGCTCATTATGCCGCTCCAGCTATATCCTATGGTGGCCATGATTACTATGTAAGTTTATTTCATTCAGAGTAATACATTCATTAAAACCTAGAAAAGTCCACTGCTGAAAATAGGCCTCGTCACAGATTGCCTCATAGGGGGGATTTTGCCATAGTTGCCACGCTTGGCAGGCGGGTTGGCCACCGCACTTTTATTATAATTTTGAGGCGATATCAGGAAGACGCAGTTGCGCATCTCCTCGTATGTTTCACTTCGTCGCGTCTCACGACACCCACGTGACGACATGGGTTTATGAGTATTCTCACAACGGCACTATACGGAAAGAATTATATATTCTCTATTTTAAATATTAAATAAGTTTTACGTAGTAGAGCCATGCTGCAGTTATATTAGTAGTATAGTTGTAGCACGAATGGGTCGGCTCGACCGGGGAAGGACCACGCTCTCACAGAATACCAGCGTGAAATAGTAGCTTAATGCTGCTGTATTTCGTATGGTGAGTGTAGAGAACTGGAGACCCTTTTTACTGGAAACGAGGCATTCCATCTCAGTCCTCACGGGTGACAACGCATCTGCATTTTGATTTTAATGGAGGATAGATGTAGATGTCTATGGGCCGCAGCAACCACTTACCATCAGGTGGACTGTGTGCTCGTTTGTCACCCTATTCTATAAAAAGTACCATATTAGGGCTTATTAAATAATAAATTACATATATTAATATAAACAAAAAGGAATCAGCATATTTTAAATACTTTTGCAGGCTCATCCCAAATACGATTACTCGTACTCGGTAGCAGACCCACACACTGGTGACCACAAGTCTCAACACGAAATCCGCGATGGCGATGCAGTGCACGGATCTTACTCTCTGCTCCAACCTGATGGCTCCGTCCGTACCGTAGACTACACCGCCAACGATCACACAGGGTTAATATAGTTACTAATTTACACATGATTTCTTTAGTCATTATAGACAACTGCTTGACTTCTATTCCACCTGATGGTAAGTGGTGAAACAACTGATGATGATAAAGCACAGTGGCTTGTACCCACGTTATAATCGGATGAAAAAACAAATGGATTCACCTCCTCATTTCATCCTCATTCTAAAGTATGTAGTATTTAAATGCATATTTCGAGTTGTTAATGGAATGTAAGGAGAAATCATCAATTTGAAAGTGTGGATTTTCCTCCAAATGCGAAATTCACCTACCTGCAGCGCACCCTACTAATCATCAAGACTTTCGCGTGAGACTTTGTGCAAAATATCCAGCAAAAAGTGCTTAACCCAAATTGACACTGATAATGAGTAGCAATATTCGCCAACTCATCAGCACCAGTTTAGTACTGGTATAATATACATACATACGTGAAAAGGATAATGTCCAAAAGTTAACTCAAAATGACTTTGGATTTTTAAGTGATGTGCATAATAAAACAATTCTTAATATTGTACAATAATAAGAATTTTTGTTACAGTTTCAACGCTGTGGTACATAACTCGGCCCCGGCTGTGCACCCTGCACATTCTCATGGCCACTATTACTAAACTCAACGCCTTCAACGGAGCGACGTTCTACATTGACTAACTTATTTATACTTGTGTTGAATGAATGTGAATGATGTAAATAAAAATGAGTAGTTATTCTTAAACTTTTGTTTGTTTTTTTGATCTATATTGAAATATGGAATATTTTCGTAGAAATGAAGGTGGCAAACGAACACTAAGTCCGTCTGTTGATAGGTTACATCTGTATTCGTTTAAGAATGAAAATGTAGATGCGTTATCATCAGATCAAATGCCTCGTTGTAACTAGTACTTATATAGCGTCTTCGAGTATGCGTTGCTCGTCATCAATCATACGAAACACAGTTGCATTATACCCCATTTGAACCGACCCATTCTTACCGCAGCTCCAATATGGTGCAGGGTGGTTCTAATATCATAGTAAAAACATATTTATCTATCTATCTAATACCTTTAAACGAGCAATTCTTGTATACAATCTCGGAAACGGCTGCAACGGTTTTCATGAAATTTAATGTGCAGGGGGTTTTGGGTGCTATAAATCGATCTAGCTAGGATTCATTTTCATAAAATGTCGTTGTATCCGTCTTTTCAGGCAATGAAAAACTGCTAAAATGTCATTAGAATACGAAGGTAAATTTTGCCGGTACCTTGAAGGCTATAATAGTTCAAATGGGAAATCGTGGAACCCCGGTTCGAAGCTAAATGTTTTCGGTCCGCCTTTTTTTTTCAAGTTCCCTTCTTTCGTGAAAAATACTATTATTTCGAGGCCTTTCTTAGTATTTTTTTAAAATACGAAAAATTAAATTAAACTAATTGCACTCATGATTTTTTATTTAAATAACAAGTTCAGTTTTTTATTATGTCGGTAAGATCGAAAAATATTATTCATATTTCATCAGTATGTAATTTGTATCTAAATATAATTTCGAAAAAACACGATTTCCAAAAAAAAAAAAATACCGAGTAATAAACAAAAACAAAAAAAACTGCGGATGGCAACCCGCCTGCCTAGCGTGGCAACTGTAGCATATTTCGCCCATTGAAGCAATTCCTGAGAAACGCCTATATTCAGCAATGGACTTATAATAGGCTATAGTAATAACAGTAACGGTATTGTTTTTATATATCTGGTATACGAGAACAGAAAATAACAAAGTATCATTAAAACTACTTCATTCAATTCATCCCCCTCTTATTTCAGAGAAAGTTATATACTTCCCGGGCCAAAAATTTCATATTTTACTGAATCACAACATCAAAGGTAGATAGATAACCTTTCTACTATGGTAGCGACCTTAGTCCGCCAAATATTAGAGACCATGATATTATTATTCTAGTCTATTCTATTATTATTATAGATATGGGGTAATGGATTGATTCTTTCACGTCGCCACCACATGTATTGCGCTACCACACGGCTTAAATTAAAAAATATTATCACAAATATACCTACCAATATAATTAGTGTTTTTATTACCAACATAATTAGTATATTTAATTTAAATGTGCTTTAGAGAATGTACAACAGAGGATAAAAAACAATTAAAATACATTTGTTAGTAAATTTTAAACCGAATTACCGACCGATTACCGAATGGTACCGGAAGCTGTCAACTAACTAATAGACGATTATCTACATATTATAGACATTCAGTTCCTTAACTGCGTGCTAAAACTTTTCGTAATCTACCCACATCCGATATAAAACTTATGCGATAAGATCAGCGATAACCTTGGATGAAGTGTTTGAAACGGACAGAGACAGACAGGCAACAAAATCATAGCTACCAACCAAAATTCATACATCTTTCTTTACGTTTATTTCCCATACATACACCACGCTAAAAGGGTAAAATAGGTTGTTACAATTTGTACGGCACTTTTTATTTTACATAGCGATTGACTCGAAACTTACTGAAAATATTCTGTGAGTAAAAAATAAGTGAACACGTATTTCGCGGTTTTTCAAAACAACCCCAGTGTGGAGTGGGAGTCGCAGAGGTTGTTAAAATTTGTGTGAACAAAAAATAATTTAATTGTGTTGTTATATAAAAAGTTGTGTAAAAATAGAAAATGAATATTTCGTATTTTTCTAAAATTATTAAATAAATATTTCTTTTTCTCCCATAGACTTTTAAAACAAGCATGCATAGTGTATATGAAAACTTTTGTATTTAGACGTATATTGGACTAAAAAGCGACAGATTGGATAATAGTTTCCTTTTATTATGTAAGCATGTTTTAAGAAAGGATTTTTGAAAAATCAAACCCTTAGATTATGAAATAGAGTATTACAGTTTCTACGACACTGATTGTGCGGGATGATTTCATATTTTTGTTTTGTGATAAATAAGTACAATTAAAATAATGACATATGGTCACCAGAGACAACTATAACAAATGCAAATTATGTTTTTGCCAAAATTCCATCTAATAAACTACGCAGAAAATTTTACGCAATTGACTATACTGACAGTTAAGTACATCATCATCATCATCATCATCATTACAGCCCTACACACGTCCACTGCTGAACATAGGCCTCCCCCAAGGTATGCCACAAAGCACGGTCCTGAGCCACTTGCATCCATCGACTTCCTGCATGTCTCACCAGGTCGTCACTCCATCTAGAAGGGGGTCGCCCTACACTTCGCCTACCGGTACGAGGCTACCACTCGAGAACCTTTTTTCCCCAACGGTTGTCGGTTCTTCGAGCTATATGGCCGGTCCATTGCCACTTCAGTTTACTAATCCGTTGGACTATGTCGGTCACTCTGGTTCTGCTGCGGATATCCTCATTTCTAAGTTTATCACGCAGAGAAACTCCGAGCATAGCCCTGTCTATCACTCTCGCTCGCTGAGCGACTTTGAGCGTCCTCATACGGCCAACAGTGAAGGACCACGTCTCGGTTCCGTAGGTCATCACTGGCAACACGCACTGATTGTACAGCTTAGTTTTCAGGTTTTGAGGTATACCTGACGAGAAGATGTGTCGTAATTTCCCGAACGCTGCCCAGCCGAGTTGAATCCGTCGATTGACCTCTCGGTTGAAGTTGGACATACCTAATACCTAATAGTCTATACTATACCTAATAATCTATACTTTGGGGAAAAAATTCTGTTGACTTTGATATCCTCTTAAAAATTTTCCAGTCTATTAATGTTTCACCTTCGGCCATTCTCTGGTTTTGATTCCTATCTTCGGGGTCGCTCACAATGTATCCGTTCCAATGACACTTATTCCAACTGGTGTAATCTTATAACGGGTGTACCCCAGGGTAGGTCTTGTCTCCTTTGCTCTTCACCGTTTTTATCAATTCCATAACAAAAATAATATCCTTCAACTTCCATCTTTATGCAGACGATTTACAGCTTTACCGTCACTTTGTGGCATCTGAAGCTAAATTGGCGATAGAAGCACTGAATGATGACTCGAAGAGAATCAGTCGTTGGTCCAGATCACATGGTATAACTATTAATCCAAGTAAGTCTCAAGCAATAATAGTAAGTAGCAGATATACTAGTAGCTTAATTGATAAATGCACCCTGCCAGATGTGATTATCAATGGCACATCAATTACTTATACTGAATCTGTGAAGAACTTGGGCTTAATTATTGACAATAGGTTGTCATGGGGTCCTCACATAACGGACTTAGGTAGAAAAGTTTATTATGCTTTCCACTCATTAAAACGTCTTCAAAGTTTTTTACCCTTATCAACAAAAATCTCTCTTGTTCAAACCCTTATCTTAGATTACGCTGATGTCTGTTTTTTGCATGCCACAGAGGAGCAATTAAACAAACTTGAGGGATTACAAAACCTTCGCATTCGGTATATTTTCGGACTCAAGAAGTTTGACCACGTCTCTAAATTCACACCCGCCATCACAGTATGTAGGGCTCGCGAGTTTTGTCGCGATATGCGATGGTGAAATTTAGCGGCTGGAAAGAGTCCAAACAATTGCTCTAAGCACTTCCCATGGTAGAATTATGCAAAGGGAAGCAATATCTCTTCGCAGCGCTAATGAGTCATTTCGATCGGGAAAAAATCGGTCGTCGACGATTCGAGCCGCTGTGTGCGATAATACGGTCAAGTGCAACAAGCTGGTACTGGGGTGCCCCGACCCAGAGAGGAGAACAGTAGGATTCCATGTGAGACCGTACCTGTGCCTGTAAAGTTGCAAGCGGAGTGCTGGCATGAATTACTGCCCGCTCTACATAGCATGCCACTGATTTGAAAGAAGTCATTCGATAAATAAACGTCGAGAATTCCAATGCTGGCTGAGGCAACACAGGTAGTGCTCGAAATTGAAGAGATACGATAAACGTGTTCATTTTTGCGTATCTTGTGTCTTCTAGGGATTAAGAGCATATATTCAAATATGTAAAAGAACATTATTTATCGCTGTCTTCTGTGTAAGTCTCAAATCTCTGATATTTACTATACTGTTACAAATATATGTATGTACATATATGTATGTATGTGTGTGTGTGTATATATGTTTATATATTTAATTATGACTTTATATTATATTAAGTATTTATGTATGTATTAATGTTCGTTTAAATATGAATATATTCATGTATTTTTATATATATAAGTATTTGAGCTGACGTATATATTTAATTTGTACCCATAAGGGTATAAATTGTATTGTTGGGTATATATACAAATGGGTATAAATTGTATTGTTGTATAATAACAAAGTGCACACCTTATAATCATTTAGTAATCATATGTGTTTGAAACTGGCCTACTGGAAGAAATTTCATTGTGAGATAAGTAGAGCCTTTGTACCAACATTTTATCATGATGTGTCCTCTCCCTAACTTGTGTGTACATAAATTGTGAAATAAATAAATAAATACTATAAGCATTATGTAGACCAAAATAGAAGAAAACCCCAATGTGTTATTTTTTTGTTAACAACGATGATGACGTCTTTTTTCTTTTAAATTTAACTGAATAATACATTTATTCATAAGTTTTTATTCATCTAAAATAGTATATATAATA